ATAGAGTTCCACATTTTTCTAAAAACAAGATTGTAAGCATTTCCACATCATATCAAAAAGCATATTATTGTTCTACTTATCATTCAAAATAAAATCAGCCACACACAAGTTAGAAATAGAATGTGTTTTAAAAAAAAGAATTCAAAGATCAAATAAAAGAATTCAAAGATCAAATACCTATCCTACTTGCCAATAGAAGCAAGAACCAACACCTATGCTTCATTGACTACATTGTTCTCCATGCCACTTTATTTTACAAATCCTAGACCAAATAACAGATTTGACCTTTCTTAAGGAAGCATTGAGAGGGTTGAATATTCTTGCAATACTTGAATTCATCTCTCCCTTCATTTGCTGAACCTTCAGGATCTGCTTCCATAGCTATTGCCTTCAAATCATACTTTTATAGCTGGTAAAATTAAATTGCATGAGATGATTAGCAAAATATTGTTGCTTGTGAAGCATTTTCCCTATCCACAGTTCGTGCCTTTTGTTTGAATCAAATGACAGTGGTGTCCCTTTTTTACTTTTTTTAGTGAAACTTTGGCTTCTGCTGTTTAAAAATATTTGCTACATAAATCTCCAGATTGGCTAGTTATTTTCTTACCCAATGGTTAATAGATTTCTTTGTTAATGTTATTGAGTAGCATAGTTAGTTGGAGAGTTGAATACATTCTTAGAATTAAAGAACATATGGAAAACCTTTAAAAAATATAGATGCAGATCTTTCCAATATCTTGACATTTGAGACATTGCTGATTCATTGGGCATCACCAGATGAAGTTTTTTTTTTTTTTTTTCCTTTTTTTTTCCAAAATGTTCCTTACAATAATGTGTTTTGTTTGTGATTCAAAACATTTGTGATTGCACTTAGTCTGTTTTGTTTTCACTTTTTTCTTATGATGCAATAGATATAGTGATATTTTTGGCAAATGTTAGTGATGAATAATTTTATTTATTGGGAATTCTAGTAACTGCGTGAGCTGCAACGCAACTGTGTGATACGGGGACACGGGGCATGCGAGACTCATCTTGGTGATCATGGGTGTAAGATGGGGATGTTGGACGGGGACGCAAACGTGGGATTGGGACGAGGAAGAAAATGGAGACGCAGACGCTGGATGGGGACCTAGAGACAAGGATGCAGGACAGGGATACAAACGCAAATGTGGGATGGAGACACAAGCTGGGATGGGGGATGAGGGTTGAACTCAGGTCGATTTCGGGTTAGCAGGTTGACTCGAACATGACTCTATTTTAAAAATGGGTTAATAATTAAGATCCGATTCTAACCCATTTGTTTAGTGGGTTGACCTGAATTCGAGTTTTCTAGGTTAGATTCGGGTTAACTTTTCAGATCTTATCTTTAATTGACACCTCTAGTTAAGAACTATGAGTAGAATATATCTATTGAGTTATTTTGTGTTGGCTAACTTTTAAAAGAAAATCTATATAAATATATCTATCTGAGTTAATTTTTTTCCAGATTTGATTACAAAAGCTATGTAAATAATTGCTTCAATAGTAAAATAATTTTAGCTTTCGGGCATAGATGGGTTCCGATATTGACACAAGCCAAGCATTTATTAGACAAAAAGTTATAGTTTCCTAAAAGAAAAATTTAGTATAAAAATTGTATTTTACAATTACACTTGATATATTTTGTTTCCACTTTTTTTTTTCTTATGATGCAATAGAAATAGTAATATTTTAGGTGAATTTTAGTGATGAATATTTTTATTTGTTGAGAACATTAGTGACAGTGTGAGCGGCGAGCGACAGTATGTGACAGACAAGCGGGATGGTGTGATATGGGGACATGGGGCAAGCTCTAGTCAAGAACTACGAGTTAATTGAATCCTCTAGTGAATTAACTGATACGGTGCGACTGTGTGATATAGGGTCATGCAAAGATGAGTATAATATATGATTAATTCATAAATTTATTTATTGGTATTATGAGAAATAATCATGAATCAAGGACCAAATAATCAATCCTAATTAAATTTAAATTAGAATATTCTTAAGTGATTTTTTTCCTGATTTGATCCAAAAGCTATTTAAATTGGATTTTGGGCTTTAGATGGGATGGCTAATCATCTATGAGTTCAATATCATCAAACTTATGATGATCTTTTATCGAAAATCATTTGATATATTATGATTGCTCATCATATAGGATTGCATGAGTAAATATAAAAGTCTCCCTATCTTAGTAATAATGGAGTCCTCCAAGTTCGAAAGTAAATATTTATTAATAGTAAAGATATGGCTAAAATTATATTATGTCTATTTTTTTCTCTTATGCATTGTCTCTATTAGATTGTATTTCAGTTCAACTTTTAACATACAAACCTATTTATTTTTTTAGTTGTTTTACATCATATAAAAATCATTATAAAGTGTGAGGTATATGCAGCAAATTAACAACCTTCGAATAAAAATCACTCATAGTATTTTTTGTGTGGGAAATTTGAGCCAATTAAGGCAAATTCACACACATTACATACGCAAGCTTTAAATACAAAACTTTTTTGTTGATTGCTAAAACTCTTGACCGATACATTAAAATGACCTCCATAATCACTCAAAAAGAGTTGAAATTCATATGCAGTCTTCTTCATAAAACTACAATCAAGGCATAACATTTATTTATTTATTTAACCTATCAAATCCAAATACCTTATTAAAAATACGAAATAGAAATGCAGCTCAAATAATCCATGGCATATATGGTTGAAATCAAAAGCTCGTGGCCTCTTTCTCTAACTCGAGCATTAATCTCTGCTCCAGTAGCTACTAATTCCAAAGCATACTTTTGTTGCTAGTGCCTAACTATCTGGCTTAATTCTCCCTTCATTTGCTCAAGCTTCAAGATATGCTTCCATAGCTATCACTTCCAAAGCATACTTTTATATATGGGAGAATTTAATTGCATGAAATAACCAGCAGAAGGTAGCTTGTGAGACATTTTCTTCATCCACGGATCTAGCCATTTGTTTGAATTAAATGACAGTATTTTCCCTTTGTTACTAGATTTGCTAAACTTTTCTTTTTGTAGTTGAATTTTAGTTTTTGTTGTTTCAAACTGTTTGATAATTAAGCCTCCAGGTTGACTTGTTAACATTTCCCTCTCCACTGGTTCATAGATTGCTTTGTTAATGCTATTCAGTAGCATATTTGGTGAGTCGAATGCATTCGTAGAATTAAAGAACATCTGAAAAACCTTTAAAAAAGATAGATGCAGATCTTTCCACTCTCTGGGCATTTGAGACATTGCAGAATCCCTGGACATCACCAGTTGAAGAAGTTCTTTTTTCCTTTTTTCCAAAATGGTCCTTACAAAAGCGATGGCATCTTCAATCTTGTCATTTGGATTCTCCTTTAAGTACAATAGAACTATGTTTGGCTTACCAGCCTTAGCTTCTTTCTGCAAATTAATTTTATTTCATTAAAAATCAATTGTGTACTTAAGTACAACTGATTTTAATTGGTGAACTAATTTCTTTTATTATAGGTCTTACTTTAACAAAATAAGAAAAGGAATAATGGATGTAAGTAATAAAATATAGCTAACAAACCTCATAGCTCTCTAAGTCGTTCAACAAGCGACATGAAACCATAAGAGATTTAGTAATCATAGTATTGTTGAAGTTCCAAAACTCTTCGGCATCAATTTTGGAGTTTGTCAAATAGCATGCTGTAAGAATAATCATATCAACTGCAATTGAAGTTGTCGCATTTTCAATATATTGATCAATTGATGGATAATGAGAACTTCTGCTCCACTCTGCTTCCTTTAGCCACGACTTGAATATTTCTTTCCACTTCATAACATATAGATAAATTCACAACTCTATTAAATAGCTTCTTAAATGTATATGACGGTATAATTAATGTTGAATGTGAACTCACACTGTTTTGAAGAATTTTCTTCACTTCATGACCATGTCTCTTAGGGAACTTCCGAGAAATATCTTGAACTAAATTGTCGAGGGCAGTGAAAATAACTTTGCTATGGCTTGTCAGAGATTCTCCCTCCCATCTATAATTAATGGGGATAAGCATAATCAATATTATGTTGATATCGCTAAGAATGCATATACAACAAATACATTCAATTTAAATTTTTTTTACATAAAATTTGAAACATAGATAGGGTTTCAAAGTTTTTTTCTTAATAAATTATTATATGAATCACAATTTTTTTCATATAATTTATTATCTTGAATTTTTGTATTAAATAAGAAATATATTTTAAAACTATATGCAAAAAATTATGTATGAATATGCCAATATAAATTTAATACATATGTAAGCAAATTTTATTATTTTCTATATTTTTTATATGCAACAATTTGAATCTTGATCATTCATGTAAGAGATCCAAATTAGTATCTCTCAACAATGTAAATGTTGATTATATTCTATCAAAATTTTTAAAAAATTGTTGAGATATGTGTATTATACATATCATCAATTATTATTTTATAAAAACCTTAAAATAATAGAAACTCAGTTTTAGATAAATTTAATGATTTGGATGAAAAGTTAAGATTGAATGCATGGACTTTAAGCCACATTTTAATGTTGAACAGATTGTCTAAATATTATAAAAATGTAATATCAAATAATTTATTGAGATAAAAGAACTATAAATAAGCAATGTGTGCAATGATCAATTCCTATCATAAGTAACATATAATATTTTCGTGCCTTTGAACTGCATCTGTTAGGATGGATAATTCATGCATTGAGCCTTTCTCATCAAAGAAATCATCTGCAACTGTAATCAAGATTGCACATTTTGTTGATTCCTTCCTTGAATCTGTGTAAAGAGGGAGGCAACTTGAAGAAGCCATGGCAAAATAGCAGTATGTTGTCTTCTCTCTGCCGAATCCCATCATGGAGAGACCAGTATCCTTAGACCACCTTTATATAGAAATTTAGATGAAATTAAAAAAAATTTTAGAAGAACATTTATTTAAAAAGTAACTATATAAATAAGACAAAAGGCGAGGCAAATATATTTTCTATGTAGTATAGTAAACTACCTCTGCAATTCATGAAGCTCCTTTCTATATGTTGATTGCCTCATCATAAAATTATCAATAGCAAGTTGGAGGAGGTCATTATTTTGTAAGATCCTGCATTTTATTTAGTTATAAAAAAATTAAATGTTCAACGTACAACAAAATTATTTATCTTAATTAAACTCCTATAAATTTACCTATACGGTGCATTCTTTCCCACCCAGAAGTTGTAGATCCCTCCTCCTTCAATGTACAATCTATGCTCCAGATGATCCATTCGTGCTAGCCATTTGTGCTCTAACTCATGCTCAATCTGATAAAGTATAGGTAGGTTTCATGCAAAAGGGTTTATGAAATTTTACATAAAGAAATCAACTCACTCTTATACTTATTCACCTCTACTTCAAATTTCTTTAATGAATATGAAATATTGGTTTGATTTTGAGATTTTATGCTCTTGAGTCCCTTCTGCAAGATGTGCCAGGAGAACACTCCAGCCTTATCAAGATCTTGATCCTCCAAAAAAGCAATATGTGATGCTTTGTAAATGCTAAGCATGGGGCCTAAAAAGAAGGCATAGTTATCTTTCATATGCGATAGCATTTTCTCATCATCAATGAACCAACAAAATCTTCCTGTACAAAGTCCATTCACATCAAACACATTTACTAGTAAAAAAAATGTTTATGTAATTATTCATATATGAATAAATATTTATTTCTAATGTTTAGATATTTATTTCTAATGTTTTAGAAATATTTAATATTTTATTCATGTAGTCAACTACTTACTTGGAGAAACTTGATAGCCATGCATCCTTAATAGTCGAAAAGCTAAGGAATCATTGTAGATTTGAAATACATGACCATCTTTCTTTCGAACTTTTGATTCTTCTTCAATCCATTTTCTATGAAAAATACAAATATTAAAATTAATCATGTTAACTTCATCTATGAATTTTTAAATGCATAGAATAGTTTTTTATCTTCTTGAAGGAAAGAACATGTTTTATATATTTTGTAAAAAAAAAAAAAAGGCCAAGTTGTCAAACTTCAGCATCTAATTTATTTTAGTTTCAACTTAAAATGGTTGAAACTATTAGATATAGGAGAAATCAATACGTACAGATTAAATATAGTATATAGTGTGTACGAGCCAATAAACAGCAAAAACGTAACTAAAATCTATCAATACATAGCTAGTACACAATGTGTATTAGCTACGTGTTGTCATTTGATTAGAGTCTGGATGTTGCTCTATGTCCGGACTCCGCCCATAATAATTTCTTCAGATATAAAGAGCAAGTGTCATCTGACAATTAACTTGTGATTTTTAAAATTATAATAATTTTAAAAATAGTTAATAAAGTTATATATATAATGAACTTCAGATCAAATTTATATTAAAATGAATTATAAAAGAAAAAAAACATACCCGTATAGGTGATCCATCACATGCTTGATTTCTACAGAGAAATGCTCTGCACATCCAAGCCTCTCCAAGTGATCAACCATGCAAAGCTTCATAAAATCTTTGTCCATTGAGAACATGGGAGGAACTGTAAATATATTATATAAGTACAAAGAATTTAAGTTTCCTCCAAAACTATTTTAATTGTCTAAAACTTCTTTAAAAATATAAATAAGAAATTTGGGTCAAATATTTCAACTAAAATTTAAATAGAATGATTAATTAAATTATTAAATTTATTATGAGAAAAATATTTTATATGTTAAAATTGGTTGATTAACAATTTAATAATTTTAAAATCCATTAAGAAAAAAAAATCATTATTTTATATTTATTTATTGATTGTAGTTATAATATTTTTCAACCTCATGGATTAATACCTCCGTGTTGGCAATTAGTAAGCAAGTGTTGAAGGTAAGATTTGTAAGTGTGATCTCCGGAAATCATGTAAGCACAAGCAGTCACTGATGGAGATTGCAAAAGTAGTGTGGAGCCATAGTTTCCAAATGCAATCTCTCTCATTACAAGTCTCTCCTTCGTAATTATGTCTTCGGCCTCTTCACTTTTAAGTTTTTTTTCATTCAATTTAAATTCATAAATAAATTCATTACTGATTTGTTGAGCAGAAAAGACTTTCAAGCCTTTTGCCTTTGCAAGCTCGGCCATCAAAAACCACCTACGAAAATGAGCATGCCCAACTTTGTCACCACCCTCTTCTCTCTTTCTCATATTCATCAATTCTTTCTCCATGTTGTCTCTGAGAAATCTTAGTCCTACGTATGTACAAATGAGTATAACAAATTAATTCATTCCTATATCTACATAAATATTAAAGATGCATTACAACTAATATAGAGTTCTTGTACCTTTGTTTATTCTATGAGAGAAATCATTACTCTCCCAAGTTTTTAGAGCGATTAAGCAAGCAAGAGTGGCCAAAAGATCATCATTGTTACATTGACGCTTATTATCTATAAGCTCGTGATGATCATTAGTAATACCATGTTGCTCGTCGAACCAAAAGCCCAGATTATTTTGACTGCATAGGATCCAGTCCAAATACTCAGGAAACATTGGGCTAGTCAGGTCATCTGGGTCAGGCACCATGGCAACCCAAGCCGTCTCATATGCAGAGACAGGTAAGAGGGCGAAGAGGTTGGCTGATGGAGAGAAGAGCTCCTCCTTCATCCTCTCGATCATTTTTGCAAACCCCAATGATTGCTCCATCACTAGGTAAACCTAATAACTTCACCTCAACAATATATGAATATATTAAGTGTGAAGAAGAATGCATGCTTGCCTTTGTATTTATAGATGTATTATAGTGACATGTGATGCACACGCTTCACAATTATTTCAATAGACAAAGTTTAATTAATTACAGTACTTTGCATGTGATTAAATCATATGCAAATGAATTATTAATGTTCATTCTGCTATCTAACGTTTCTTACCAAAGAGGGGACCAACTAGTAGTATGAATCTATTTGGGATCTTAAAGAGGGATGGAATCTTATCACGAAAACAACAGAAGGAAAATGTAGCTCATTAGATAGCGAGAGATTGGACTTCTTAGAAAAATCCATAATGATGACTAATAACACAAGAGCTCTGGCAAGCAAAATATATATAATTTTCCTATCTATTCATATTCTGAAAGAAATTGAACATTTCACTAACCACGCAAATTAGGAGGTCTTAATCTTCCTCTCAAACCCTAAACAATTATAAAACTACTCAACTGCAAGATATGAATTTTGTTGCTTTTCGAACACTACTGAATATTCCTTTCAATGACCAAATAGATGAATCTCAATTCAAAGCTCAATCATGCATGGACGGAGGGCCGTCTTATGAAGCCATGCATTCACACTCTCTTTTTATTCATAAAACTAGCTAACTTAGAAAAGACAATATAGATGAATTAATAGATAGGTCGACTTACTCTAACCATGAAGAAAAGCTCTAATTTTGGAGAAAAAAATGTCTGAGCTTGGCTCTTATATGTGAGTGGAAAATGACAAAATGATGGCCTATATTAGTAGTAGCAAATCTTTTTCAATGTTTAAATTATGTCATAAATAGGTTCACATGTTGAACTTGGTTTAGTAATAAATAATACAAGGAAAAAAAAAACAAATTATTGTCACATATTCCATCAAATTTTCTAACAGATTTCCGATGAAATATTTTCATCCTATTTATGACATAAATATTTTTCTTAAGTTATAATTTAAATAAAAAAGAGTAACTTTTACAATAGAACATGCTCTGCAGTCTAATGGATGGGTGTTAGATTATACTCAAAATGAGCGAGATTCAAACCTTAATTGTGCAGGCTCGAGCCAGTTGGGAGTGTTCATAGGCGAGCGGTGGCAGTTGGTTTGTGGGTGGGCAGGCGGGCAGGTTGGGGTAGCTGGCTTGCAGGGAAACGAGCATTAGGCATATTTGAGCAGAATTTTGAAAATTTTATTTTAATTTTTCTGGCAACAATTTTTTCGTGGATTAATTCTGCAAAAATTTTGACGGAAATGTTCCCGACAGATTTTTTTTCTCCGATGTTTGTTTTTCGACGCGTGTTTTACTGATGAAAAATTGTCCATCGAAAATCTGTCCGAAATACCAATTACCAACAGATTTTGATCATTTTCCCAGCGTGGCAGCAAGTAGGGGTGTCAATTTCGGGTCACGGGTCGGGTTCGGGTCAAACCCTAAACTAACCCGGCACTATTCGGGTCAACCCGAACCCGACCCGTTTTTAAAAATCAGTTTTCCTAACCCGAACCCGACCCGCTTCGGGTCCGGGTCAACCCGACCCGCTTCGGGTCCGGGTCAACCCGACCCGACCCGAATGACCCGTTTCCAACAAGAAAATGGCTAATTTTTGGGTAAAAAACGGGTCAAACTCCTCTTTTCGGGTCAAAAACGGATCAAAATCGGGTCAATCTCAGGTTGTCGGGTCAAAATCGGGTTTTCGGGTCAAAATCGGGTCACTTTCGGGTCAATTTCGGGTCAAAGGGTTAACCCGACCCGATTTTTGAAACGGGCCGAAATGCTGAACCCGAACCCGACCCGTTTCGGGTTCGGGTTGACCATAACCCGAAATTTTCGGGTCGGATTCGGGTCGGGTTTTCGGGTCGTGTCAAAGATTGACACCCCTAGCAGCAACAGCACCTTGCAACAAGAATGAAAGAACGACGATGGTGAAGAAGATGGGAGGGGAGAAACCCTAGCACAGCAAAAAAAAAAAAAAAAAGCATACTTACTAATATTATAATATTATTTATGCTTAAAGGTGATTAGACGCAATCTATTACTCAAATGGGTACACTTCAAATGGAGGTTTTAGCCTAAAACTACGTTACTTTAAACTGGTCGTCTGAACATTAGGTTCCAACTCCATCATGTGCAACACACATAGCAGAGATACATTAGACGACAACATACAATGTCACATCATACACAATATAGCAGTCATAATTTTTTTGTATGATTTTAAAATACTTTGAACAATGTTTGAAATTATTTATTTTATTCTTAAAAAAAGAGTCAATTTTTATTTATACCAAATTTGCATTTGGTCGTTTTTCCCCCCTTAAATAACAAAATAGAATAGTCAATGAACCATAAAATAGTATATATTAGTCAACAGTAATTAGCTTACTATAATTTTCTCCAAAATAACTTTGATACACTCCAAGAAAATTCATATGACCATATATATGAATTTTAATATAATTTGTATATTTCAAAAAAATTGTAAGTAGTTAATTAGATTATAAACTTCAAAATTTAATTATGAGATCCTCTAAATTCTATTTTAAAAATTTTGCATTCGAGATGAAGCAATTGGATGAGAAACAAAAAAATTTAACTTATAATTGAATTTTTTATAACATTTAATGGAGAAAAAATCTTATAAATTTTTTGTTAGTCCAATAAAGTTCACTCAAATTTGAGTTCATTAAGCCATTAAAATGTCCAAAAATCATAAAGTAATCAAGAGGAATCTGTTCATATTATTCAAAAGAGTATCCATGATTATTATAGAAATGAACAGTGTTTCATATCATGAACAAAAAGAAAAAGTATTTTTTGAACTGGTCAGACATCACTGGCCAACTATCCGTAGACACTACTGCCCAAGGTTGTGAAAATTGGATTGTACAAAGATTCGGAAGGAGATGCTCAAAGTTTGACAGGTCGAATTGGGGTCAAATTGGATGACATAATAAATAATAATTTTATTTTTTTAAAAAAAATTACAATAATAATGACGATATCATTATAAATTGTTGCAACTCGAGTTAACGAGATTATATTTTTGATGATAACAAATATAGTGGCTCACATCCTATTGTCTATTTGTATTTGCAATATTTTTTTTTTTTATGTACTGACTTTTTAGGAACACCATGCAATATCTAATGAAGATTCAAGACTCAAGATTGGGTATAATAGATTATGTTGTAATGAACATGTAATATTCGTTGATGTATTTTTTATTTTTTGAGTCAAGTCCTGTAAGGATGCTCCTAGCTTGGTGATCATGCACACACACACACACACTCAAGAGAGTGAGATTGAGTCAAAACTAGAAATTCACGTGGGAGGGGCAGAAGTGGTAGGAAATAACTTTGGGTTTTTGGTGGTGGTTTTTGGATCACTTGTCGGTTTCCATTATGCTTGGCCCAAGCCTGGTGGTGTTGTTTGGTTGGTCTGGTTGGATGACTTATTGTCTTATTTGGTTATGGGCTACTTTGGTTGGTAGGCTTTGTGGATTATTATTTTCTTTCTTTGGTTATGGTTCGCTGGACCGTTGTTTCTTATTTCAGGCTGCGAGTTATGGTTTGTGGGCAATTAATGATGTGGCTAGGGCTCACTTGTCTTAAGCCATGGCTCATGGCAACCTTTGGTGTTGCATGCTCGTTTTAGTTGGCTACTCTCTTACTTCAAATTGGATGGCCCGTGCATGGCTTTGGATTTGTTGGAAGCCTCTGCCAATTACTGAGCCCGATGGTTCTTACCCCCTCCCTTTGTATCCCTGCAGTTTTTTCGTCCTGGTTTTTAGCTTGTTGTAATGCTCTTCTTTTAGTTGGAATAAAATTTTCTTTTATGAAAAAAAAAAATTTTGGGAGGGGTAATTAACTATAGGGGCCTACGCCTATAGGAAACTAGAACTCATATCATAAAGTCCTCACAAAATGAGGGTGAAATCTCTGCGTAGTGTCTTATCTACAAACTTATCTGTCTTCCCAAAATTTATCCCGAAACTTAATATGTTAAAACTCCCCTAGACCCAATGAAAAAGCAACTGTGGGCGGAGGCCGAGGCCGAATTTTTGGAGCCCACAATGGTTTTGACAATATAACTCCTAAAATTTTTGTATTCATGTATTGCATTAGGATTTGTATTTGGTTGATGAATTTCGAGTGATGTATCAAGAAATTTTCATAATGGCTATACCATAAGACTAATAAGAGAAGAGAATATGACAAAATCGAACCTAATGGAATTTCACATAAAATAAAAATGGACATTTGGATGTTTAAAATTCATAGCATATCTTTTAACAATAATGGAACTTACACATTGCTTGGTGGCTCAAGACAAATCTCAATCATGCATGGACGGAGGGCAGTCTTATAAAGCCATGCATTCATTCATGATCTCTTATATATATATATATATATTATTTTTTAAATATTTAAATTTAATAAATAAAATTAAATTTATTTTAAAAATATTAATAATTATTCGAGCCGACTCTCAAGCTGAGCCTCATCAAGCTCCAACTCGAGCTCGGCTCATGAGCTCTATAAGCTTGGCTAACGAGCCCATAAATGAGCCTTGCTTGAGCCAGCTCTCGAGCCAACTCGGCTCACTTATATCCCTAATGGAGACACTGCCCCCAATGCCCCCACAACGATGTAAACCCTTAAAGCCATCTATACATATTAGTTCAATAGTATGTCCCACTTGATGCACTTTATGTTGTAAGAAATTATTCATTAATTATTATTTAACAAGCGTTGTCTCAATTTCACCACCTATAAATTCCATTTTGCAAACCAACATCATTTCTTTGATATGTGAATTTTAGTTAAAAAAAAACAATTTCGTAGTTGTCAATCATAATTTGATGTGCTTTTTTTTATAGGAGTGTTATGTGATAGAAAATTATTGATCATAGATTGAGTAGATTATGTTTTGTTATTGCACAAAGATTTGCACAATGCACATTAAATAAGTAA